TTTTTTTTTTTAATAAATAAAAATAAGAGGTCTAACACTTAAAAAAAATTAATGCTTTCAGTAGAACAAAATTGATATATGACCAAGAGTCAAATGGGAGCAACCCAGTTGTCTATTGGTAAGCATGCGCAATCCACTCATGCTAGAATAAAATAATCCCTCGCTGGAATGAATTTGATCTTAATTTCTTCCGCAATTAGGTTTAATCAGTTGAAAATCTCAAACAGGAATGATCTCAACTTAAACCAATTGAGTAGATGGAATCAATCCAGAATTCCACTGTGTCTGTATTTGGATGAAATGTCTTTAGAGATTCTTATGTGGCATGCTATGAGGAAGAAAAAGAAACTGATAACCCATTAATTTGTATATTTCCCTTGAGTTCACAGAAAAGGTCTTGTAGTATTGGTTCTGAGGGTAGATTGAATTTGCAAGCTTGCTTTAATGAATCAGGAAAACTTTACTGTACCTCACATAAATGACTCTAACAAACTTAATGGCTTTACTTGGACTTTGTTTCTGCATCATTCAGTTGTTACTGCTAAGTTGTGTTGTACTTCTCTCATTTGCTTCCCATCTGCTTTCCTATCTTTATAGGTTTAGCATGATGTGTTGAATTGTTACAACCCCAGTTAGGATGAACCATTACTAGACTCATGATCCCTAACAGCGTTAATGCACTCGAACCCTAAGAGCAGGTTGTTGTTACTTGGTCCATGAGCCAAGCACTTCAGATTTGAGTCCTACCAACTAGTAAGACTTCCGAGGTTTAGTTTCAGCTCTGCTGACTGGGCAGGCATCATTTTCGTGCTTACATTCCTTTTTCTACTGATATAACTCAGCCAAGATTCCTATAATATTCACTATTTTCTTCACTTCTAAACAAATTATATCAGATTATGGAAAACCCATACTAGCCTTACCCTGGGAAAGGTAAAATGAATCGCCTTCAAAAATATTGGTCTCTTTAGTCTAATTGTTTATTTCTTGGGTTGAATACTGTTAGTAAAAATAACCTGGCTAAATTAATATCCGAGAGGTGAACCACTTCTGTGATTAACTCCATCTATTGAAGTTCTATGAATATAGTTCTTGAGTTTTGCATCAATCACTTGCTACTGCTGTTTCATAATTTATTTTAGATCAGTGTCTGATGGCAACAAATAATCTGGAAATCTCAATTTGATTGTTTTGGTAGTGATGATCTGATCATTAATATGCATTTCTGTTAAAATGTACAAAAGACCTAATTGCAATCAATGGTACCTTTTCCGTGCAGGCAAGTTCGACAAGCAGAACGTTTTAATTGGGCTGCCACCAGGGGGGTAAACGAAGAGATGCTGTTGGAGAATTTACCAGAAGACCTACAAGGAGAAATAAGGCGTCATCTTTTTAAATTTCTTGAGAAAGTAAGTTTCAGCTTAACACTTGATGAAGTTTATTATGGCTGCTGCATAATGCCGCATCTCAAAGATCTCATGAAAGCGAAGAAAGACCATGGAACTTGTCTAGGATGAAGAAAGAGAGA